GCACGCATGCCAGGCGAGCGCGCTACCGCTTGAGCCACATCCCCAGCCCTACTTTATTCTTTTCAAAAGTTAACATTATGTCTAATCTTACCTCATGTTTTCTTTCATTCAAAATGATGACTGTAGTACTTATGTACAAAGGATCACTATTCTGAACTAGGCTCTGTGGCCACATCTGTACAAATAGAAAATTAAATTTTCAACCAATTCAAAGAAGAAAACTTTTTCCTAAAGCCTAAATCCTAGTCTTGCTTTAAACACAAATATGGYTGGGATTTTTGTAGCATTCTTTAAAATATTTGTATCTCTTTCACATATGTCACAAAGGGAACAATAATTATAATTTGGACTTTAAACCTGTTGATATATCTACCATACCATGACTGAGCTTATCCTTCATTAATAACTTCCTGAGGAAAGTTGAGGCATACTCAGAGTATATCCTAACATTGTATGAAAATTCTAGAGGGCTGGGGATGTGGCTCAGTGGCCAAGTGCCCCTGAGTTCAATCCCTGGTACCAAAAAAAAAAATGTGAATAGTAGGAGGATGACTTTGTATTTTTCAGTTTAAGTCCTTCCATGCTCTTTGAAATTTAATCTGTATGTGTATTTTAATAGTAATAAAATTTTTCAATCTTGTTAACAAGACAGTTTATACTTAACTTTTTTRCAGTTACACCCCCAGACTACCAGCCTCCTGGTTTTAAGGATGGTGATTGTGAAGGAGTAATATTTGAAGGGGAGCCTATGTACTTAAATGTGGGAGAAGTCCCAACACCTTTTCACACCTTCAAAGTAAAAGTGACCACTGAGAAAGAACGAATGGAAAATATTGATTCAGCTATACTATCACCAAAACAATTGAAAACACCACTTCAAAAAATCCTAATGGACAAAGATGATTTAGAAGATGACCAAGAACATTATATAAGTGTGAGTGTTTAAAGAGTTACAAAGTACAATAGTAACAAATGTTTGACTTAATTCTGAGAAAGGAATTTAATAGCTTTCAATAATATTTGTATGAGTACTGTATTATCATCRTAAACTCAAGGTTTGAAGGGACCTTAAAGTCTAGGTCTGTAGTTTTAAAATATTTTACCTTGGTCCAAACATTATTCTTAGAATTTAAAAACACTATTCTGATTAAAGTCCTGGAGGCCCAGCCACTCATCACCTCACCTACTCTGGAAATGTACTCTGAGGAAACCCCAARGATTATAGGGCATAATTTGAAAACCATTGTACTAGTCCAGTTCCCCAACTAATGATAGAATCCTTTCTACAATATCCCTACTAAGTACTTGTATAGCTAGTACTTTAATTTTTCCAGAGCCTGTAAAGTCACARTCCTGAAGCATCTTAGAATTCCTGCAAGGCAGGAAAAGTGTCTTGTACATTTTATAATCCTTTAGTGCTATCATTCAGATTGCATTCTCAGTATTGGTTGAGTGAATGGGAAAAATATAAAAGAGCCTTTTTGGTTGCCTCATTCCCAGCAAAAGTGAAAGTCATCATTACTTTATT